AAGTTAATAAAACAAATCTAAAATTAAATATTTTACTTAGAAAATATATAGCTAAAATTAATATATAAGTTTTTATTTAAAAAATTAAACTTTTTAATAAAAACACAGACAAATTTGCCTGTGTTACAATTTAAGGGATAGCAAAGACAAATGTTTATAATATACCATTATCTATATTTATTATCATAGATAACATCTATCACTCATATATCATTGTGTAGACAATATTAGATGATAAAACAATTAGATTATACTCTTAGCTGCTTGAAGTATTAATTAAAGTAACTAATGGACTTTATCTAAATACTATTTTAACAGATGCTGATCTTGCTATGAATCTTGTCATTTCAACTATAATGCCTTCAACTTAGTATTTTCATTGCATCTGGCATATTAATTAAAACTTACAAAAAAAACTTAAAGGAAAATTAGGGTCTAGTTAGGATTCATTTATTAAATACTTTTATAAAATTTACAACATATTAGATTAACAAACATTTGAAAATTAGTTTAAGTATTTGTTAGAGCTTTATTCAAAAGTGTCATAATATCTCAATAGAACTTTATATTCTAATTAATATTCTTAGGTAAGAGCATATATTTATCATCATTTTATAGCTAGTGCACAGGCAACTAGTTAAGCTGAATTAATCAACTCATATATTAAAGCTATTATATGCTATAGTTACACAACTTTGTATAATTTGTTTGATGCACTCGATTTATTAATTGCTAATCAAGATTACTATTATGACTTTATTGGTTGGAAATCAATAAACCCAAATATTAAACTACCAAATATTTGCAATACTATGTATTTAAATATAAATTACATTCTTAAGATCTTTGTTGCATTTAATTTAATTGAAAAAATTAGATATGAAATAAATTATAGTTTATTCTATTATTCAACTAAAATCAGTTCTAAACTTTTGAACTTATACCAGGTAAAATAAAATTTGTTAACAAATAATTAATACTTATCTTTATAACTAAGTTTATTATAAAACCTTATTTTTTGTTATTAATACTTAGATGCAAGATGATGATACGATGCTTTTAACTATCTATTAGCTCATTTATTTATACTTTTTAAGCAAATTAAAAATCAAGTAGTTGAAGTTTGGGAAATAATTTATATAATATGGAAACATTCTTGACTTTATATATTTTTATTTAAGGATAGTTTATTTATATGTAGTTGTATGCTATTGATCAATCACAGTTATTTATACAGATATTTTTTTTTGGGTTATAGCATTTTCTACTGCTGCAAAATTTTCTATTAATTTTATAGCAAAGCGTTAGCTTTATAAAAAGTATCAAAATAAAGATCTGGGTGCTTAATCTCTTGTTAATTTGTTAACAGTTTTTTTATCTAAACTATCAGAAGCATTGTCTATTTCAACTACTATATTACAAACAAATGACATGATGAATTTATTTTTAACAACAAATTCAACACCAACTATGATATATTTGTCCATTTGTGTTAAAAAAGCAATGCAAAAGAAAAAAGCTTATGCTGAGACTATTGGAGTTATACAGTATATAAAGTAATTAATATTGCTATCAAAAAAGATGATTAGCATGTTCTCAAGCTTTTAAAGAAATACATTGTTTAAAATGAGCACTTACTTATTAAGAATATAACTAGTGTATCCTCTTTTAGACAACAAGCTAATTTAACTAAAAAATTTTCTGAATCAAATATTATTATTGAGAAATCTTCTATTAGAATATCTAATTCTATAAAAAAAGCTAAGAGAGGTCAGCTACCAAAAACTAAACATTATGAATCATTATTAGAAAGTCAATAGCTAAAGAGTTAGAAAAAACAATCTAAATTAGCATGTGGCCTCAGAACTAATACATGTGGTAAATATAGTAGTAAAGGCTATAATCATCGGTGGCATACCAAGCACAAAGATAAGGCTTGTAATTTGTTAATTTTTTGCGAACTTTGTGAAAGCTGTGGCTATAAAAAAGAAGTGCACAATTCTATTGAGATAAATAAGTTAGAACAAGAAAACAAATAGAGAAGTATAAGTAATTCAAAATCAAAAGCTGAAATATATAGTGATGAATAGTGATAGTATAGTTGTTTCTAAATAGGATAGAAATTTTCTTATATGTGAATTGTTAAATATTAGTTCACTTGATAATAGCACAATCTACTCTTATTATGTATTTAATTGATATTAAGTAACAGTAAGCTAAAAAAAATGATCATGAGAAGAGGTGTGGCGACCTAGTGTAGTGGTTTAGTCATCATCCTCTCCAAGTGGCAGGTCTAGAGTTCAAATCCCACGGACGACAAATTTTGAAAAATAGCCTGTGTTACGGTTTACGGTTGTCAATTATTGGTTGGATCTAGAAATCTGTAATCTCGGTCATACCATCTAGTTATGGGAGCTTTGGCGCAATAAATCCGAGGAACCG